CACAGAAATACCGTGTTGATGAATGGAGAGGGTATCTTTCATCTTCCCCTTATTTGTAATTAAATCTTGTAGCTATATAGCATTTATAAGTATCAGTAAAAATTTATTAAAACGGTGCCTTAATACTACGAATCAATACCTGGGCATGCAAGGAGTGGTGCTGTTTTGTTTAGTGTGAGATGTTAATCTTGAGTATAAAAGTAAGATTTTTGGATTGTTAAATAGAAGTTCACACTGCTAGTGCAAAAGCAAAATGCTGTACTAATGCACATTTGGATTTTTAGAAAACAGCAACTGCTGTTGCCCACTGCAAGAGAGGAAATGGCCTCATTAAAGTGAATGGAAGACCTCTGGAAATGATTGAGCCCAGAACTCTGCAGTATAAAGTAAGCATCCACCACACCACCACCACCACCTCCCCCCACCTTTGATAATAAAATAACTTTATACACATAATTGCTTGGGGGTGGAAAAGAGTTGCTTGCCTTACTGACAGTACTGAGTTTTTGTTTGTGTCTTACCTGATTGCCAGAAATTTAGACTCTGTTATGAAGATTTGGAAAACTGTCCTATGATTGTCTTGTTGGGAAGGGTGGACTTTTTTGCTTAACTGGTTTAATGTATGTTAACATAATTATATGAAGCATTTTCAGCTCTTCACATCTTTTTTTTTTTAAATTTAAATGGGTGACTTAAAATCCTCATTTTTTAAAGATTTTTTATAGAATATCTCTATGAACGCTGCTGAAAGACTCTAAAGCTGATCAGATAACTATAAAGTGTAATAAATAGCAGAGAAAACCACCTATAAATTACTTCTGATCTTTAGTTTTAATAAACTTATTTTTCTGATGTAGTTATGGCATTCTACTTAAACTATACCCTTGCTCTTAATTCCTGTGTGCATATGCTTTACTATTAATATTTCTGAAACTTAAAAAAAAAAGAAATTAATTCAGTAAATTTATTTTATAACAACACTAGTAGATGGCAGAGAATTCTGCAAGAGGTATACTTAATTTGGCTGTGTGCTTGTAAAATCAAGGCTTCATTTTTCAGAACATTCAGTAACTTCACATCTGGTAAACCTGTACTACAAGCTCTGATCCTTGTCTCTGATCAGAAATGAATTTACTTCCTGTGTTTTGTCTCCCAGCTGCTTGAACCTGTCCTCCTCCTGGGGAAGGAGCGATTTGCTGGTGTTGATATCAGAGTCCGTGTAAAGGGTGGTGGCCATGTAGCACAAATCTACGGTATGGTTTTTGGTGGGATCTCTGGTGTAGGCTAGAACAGGTCAAGCCACATATTTAAGAGGCTTGAGTTTAGAATAGTAACTTGCTCTTGAGGTTCTGTTTTGGTTTTTTTTTCACTATGCAAATGTAGTTCATAAGGGCTTATTGGTTGTATTTTATATGCAAAGGTGTAACATCTGGAGTAAGTTGAATTAAGTAAATTGATGAAATTTTGAGGAAATGTGAGGAAACGATGTTTGCATCTTGCAGTGTGACAGGACAGTTCAGGTGCAGCTGAGCACAAAGATTCTGGGAGGGGGGAAAGGAGATTTATCATTAGAAATCACATCTTTAGTTGTAAATTTCCATGTTGTTCAGAAGCATCTTTCGACTGACCCGCACAGCTATGCAGTTTTTTCCCCTTGCAGAGAAGACTGGGAATGTACTTGTATTAGCTGTTGATAGAGTTGCTCTTTATAAATCTTAGATTTATTCTGTTTTGATTTGGGTGTAGGTTGGAGAAGTGGAGCAGAAGCTGCATAAAGAGCAGAGACATGTTTCAGTCTCATAGCTGATTGCAGTTGTTTTTCAGAAAATTCAATCCAAATGCTGATCGTGCTGTACTGACAGACAACAGCCTAACAGAACTTCTACAGTTACTCCCCTGCTCCTGGGTTCAGTTTTCGTTACTGTGCTACAGGCTGGTTTTATTGAGGCGTGCTGGAGGAACTGCTCATGCTGTCCTGTTGTCCATTTTACCTCCTTAGTCTTTGCACACACTGATAAATTTTATCCTTGTTGAGAAGTAGAAACATTTCAGAGAACTGTGTTTCTAAGGATTTTGAAAGTTGATTGTTTGTAGGTAGAAGATGAACCTACGTTAGTACTCGGGAGAAAAGGGGATCAGGACTGCCCTTGTGCAGTTCCTTGGCTCGCTGGCAGTTGTCAGTTCAACACGTGGACTGTGGGTGGTGTCTTGGCACAGATTTCTTCAGATTTGCCAAAGTAAAAGTCATGTGCAGTACATAGGAGGGGACTTTAAGGAGGGAAAGGACAATTTGGTAGCAAACAAGACAGCAAGTTTCTCAGATAACTGTCACTTTGTGTTTAAGTTTTAAATACATTTGCAACCCTTACTGATCCATTATCTTTTTTAACAGCTATCCGTCAAGCAATTTCCAAAGCGTTGGTGGCTTATTATCAGAAATGTAAGTTGTTTTGATTGTTGTGTTGCCCTTAAGTGGAAATGTGTGGCTTCTGGTAGTTTTGGCACAGAACATGTTAATATGGATTTGGTCCATGGGAAATTTCTTAAACTGAAGATTTTTTTTTTTTTAAACAGATGTTGATGAAGCTTCCAAGAAGGAGATCAAGGATATTCTAATCCAGTATGATAGGACTCTGCTGGTTGCAGATCCTCGCCGTTGTGAATCCAAGAAATTTGGGGGACCTGGTGCTCGTGCGCGCTACCAGAAGTCTTACCGTTAAAATTGTTCTACAGTCATGTGACAGTCAATAAACATAAAGAGAATTTGATAATTTCATGTTTCTAAATTGTGTTTTTCTGTGTAGGTAAATAGATTTTTTCACTGTTTGTTAACTTAAGCTCATATGCAAATTGATCAGTATGAAAGTAAAATCAGAGGGCTGTTGGCAGTTGTCTTATCCCTTCATAGTAAGTAAGTCTGGATAGGTAAGGTCTTGGGAGTAAGGAAAAGCTTCTTTCTGTTGCTGGGTGCCTGGTTATCAGAACATAAAGAAGGCTTACTTCTTTTTTTTTTGTTTTTTTTTTGTTTGTGTGAGTATATGCAACCGTGTAGCAGTTCATTAAAGCAGAGTTCAATTTTCTCCTTTTTGGTAAACCTAAATGAAGATGGACCTTTTTCCAGTACCTGCCTGGCCTATCTTCCCTAGGGTTAGGAACCAACATGAATATCCCAAGTTCTTCCTGTGTGAAATGTCTGTCTCAGCCTGCTTATAGACTTTATCCATAACGTGTATGAGCGTGGATCTGACTCCTAGCTGGTAACTTGTATGTCGTGTGTGATGTGACTTGGTTTAGTATGCTGCCCTAGTGTACTGCAGCACACTAAGCATCTTGCTGCGTACACTTTGGTGCTGGCAGTTTGTGATCTTGCAAAGGACATCTGTTTTCATTGTATAATCACTGAAATAGCACACTGAGGGTGAAGTTCCAAATACTGCTATGGAATATTATATGGCAATGGGTATTGTATATCAGGATGATCTGCTTTTGTTTGCCCGTACTGGTTAGGGGCAAGGAGTTCACCCCCTTGAGGGTAACTCCCTCAACGTAGTGCTAAAATGGGTGTTCAGGCAGCTATTCCAAAGTTTTTATTCAAAGTTCACATTGTCAAAACCAAAGTAATATGGAGGCAGGGGAGGGGGTTTGTTGAACCCTTGCCACACCGGATGGCAGAGTTTTCTTGATTAATATGTCTAAATGTAGGAAGCTTTATTTTTTTTCAATAGCAAACCCCATATATTATGTTTCAAAATAGTATTTTGTAAATATAAAGCATAAAAGGGATTTTGTGTTACAAATAAGATTGGATCTAAATGATTCATTTTTCAGCCACAGAGGGATCTAGACCTGAAGAAAAACATTAAATGATTTAATGAAAAAAAAAAAAATCCCTTTGGGAGCCAGACAGTTGTTTATGTCATGAGCGAGGTGAGGCGGTTTGAAGTCCTTGGGTGAGTAAGTGGGGAAAACCCTGGAGCTGAAAATATGACATTAATTTTCAAACTAGGGTGTGCGTGTATCAAACATGAAATGTTGAAGAACTTCAGTTACTGAGACATGGGATGTGCCAACAAAAGGCTGCTGGAAAGGCTAATTCTGTCCCTTGGTAGAGTTGCAAATAATGGAGTGAGGCCTTGGGTCTGAGCTGACCCAACAGGCATGGGCACAGCCCTGGACTGTTGTTTCCTATGTTTGAAAACCAGTTTGGAGAGGAACTGGAAGGAACATTGGAGACTAAGTAACTGAGAGCCTGGCTTCTGCTGTGTTGCTTTCTAAGCCTGGTATTTTTGTGTCTGTCACTGTACACCAATACTGAAATTGTTACAGGAGTGCCTTGATACTTGACATTTTTGTTGGGCTTACTATTAATGTGGTATTTCTTCTCTCACTTGTTTAATGGTAGGTCATTTCAGCATACTCAGTCAACACAAAGTTAAACCAGCTGCCTTTGTGAATTGGGTTGGGGAATTGGAAAGAATAGTACAATTTTGCCCTTTTGCTCTAGTTTAGGAAAAAAAGTGCTAGTGGCTTTTTTATGAATGTTAATATTTGTTATGATGTCTGCTTTTTCAGTAGAAAGACATTAAAGGCATTTTCACTGAAGTGTAGTTATTCAAGAGTTAAATGTGTAACTGAAACAAATTCTTTCTGAAAAGGAATTCTTCATCCATCTCCCATTTTAGCTGTCAGCATCAGCATAAAATACTGCATTGCATGACCTGAATAGAAGTAGAACGCTTTTATCTAAACCCCTCATGCTCCCATTGAAGCAGAGGGGACCGTTGTATGTTCTGTCACCAATTTACATACCAGGATTGTTTTTCTTACACTAAGTGAACTAAATACTCTATTCCAGACACTTGCTGTCTCTTTGGCAAGGTGTGTGGTTTGCTTTCTTCAGCCTCCCCCTTTCTGTACCCTCAGATCTGACCCATTTCTTGTCTGAGTTCCTCAGAGTTTCTACCTTGTAGTAGAGTTGCTCACAAATTATTCTGGCTTTTGGGCTGCTGAAAAATGTGATGCTCTGCCTCCTAGTCTGGCTTTCTAAGGAAAAGCTGCCATGCAGGGCTAACTTCAAATCTGATTACTTGAATTCCTGTGAGTACTGTGAAAAATAGCATCTTGATAGATGTTAATTAGCTACAGCTGAGGAAAAATAAGCCTTTTAGTTGTTTGGCTCGTGTCATGACTGAAAAGCAACGGCTCACTCATTGCTTGGGAAATGTGTACTGGCCTCCCAGTTGGCACATATGTACCATATGCCTTGGCTTGTCCAAAACTGATTCTTGCCTAGATGTTAAGAGTAGTCAGATGCAGGGAAGAGGAGAGGATGCAAAGTTACTATGGTGTAAAACTCAGGGAGGCAGGGGGAGATGTGATACCTGATGCCAGTAACCTTAGGGGAAGGTTTCACAGTTATGGGGAAACCTGATCTATCAGGTTTTCTGCCCACAGAACAGCTTGTAACAACTGGAGATTTTTGGTTTGCTGTTCTTTTATGGAAAGGCTGAAAATAAAACTCGCATTGCTAATAATATACCCAGAGATGATATCTGCATGTCATTTCTTCAATTGAAAGGCTCTTAACATAATAAAAATGCTTTCTGAACTGGACTTGGATCCTATAAAAATGTCCCATTAATCCTGTAGGGTGATGTCATTCCCACAGACTTGCTTTCTGAATGAGAAATGTTCATGGAATCAGGCTGGTGTCTGCCTGAGTGGTTGAAGATTTTTCTTCTAAATGGTTACTTACTGATCACCCACTAGAGGGCTTAACTTCATTGGGGAAGCGTAACTACCATAACGTTTGAAGGTGTAAGGAAAAAACCTGTTCATAAAAATGTTTTCTTTCCTGATGTCCTGATTCTGCAGGGATGGCAATCAAGCTCTTGTCATTTAGCATCCGCTCACTTCCACGGAGAAATAATAACAGTTTGATTTTCAAGCCCCTAGCGAGGTTCTTGAGCAGCTCTGGACGTGGTTCTTGGAAAAGAAGAAATGCCCCTAACCTCATACTGTCCAGCTCTTTCATTAGTTTCACTGATGCTAATCCTTAAAGAAGATCAGGTGTGTACATTAAAATGTGGCCTCACTTGAATTCTTTGTTGAAAATACTGGTTCAATGAAGGCTGGAGTGTGAGCTCCAAAAAGTACCATATTCTATTAATGACAACAGTGGATCCAATTCTAAACCAGAGAAAGCTTGTACCTGTGGTGCTGAAGACAGTTATTTTCTCAACCATTGTTTATAATCCTGATAAACTGTGTAACCTGTATATAAAATTAAGTCCTCTCAGATGTTATGTTGGTGATGTGGTTTAACCAGGAAGTGTCGCTGCCCACCCCACCCCCCCACCCTCCCGTGGTACAGGGAGGAGAAAATATAAACGGGGCTCAGGGGTTGAGACACGAGCAGTTTACTGGAATGGTAAGGGAGAAACAAGGGCTGAATGTTTTTCTTTGCCTTCTCTTCTAGTCCAGCTGGGGAGCAGGGAAGAGAAAGGGCTAGAAGAAATGATGGGAGAACTTTTTACCTGAGAGAGGCCATCAACTCTTACATTTTATTTTGTTCCAAACCCACCTTCTGTAACATGCTCGGAGGGTTTCACAAAGCACATCCTAGGAAGAGTGGAGGGGTAGGCAAAAGATAGGCTTTGCAAAATAAAATGAGTAGTAGCAGTTTTGATTAGCATTATATGTGTCTTTAAAAGTTCACTTTTTAATGATTCTGTCATGGTAAAGCATGTAAAATTTTTCTTTTTTAAAATTGATAATTTTTAATTTTGGTGAAAGTATATATTTTAATGAAAATCAGAAACAAACCCCTTGGCCCTGTTGACTTCTCCTTTTTGCTAATATTAAATTTTCATAACATGTTTTATTAAAAATGTAATATAATTTTCCTCTGGGAAGCCTTTTTTGTAATATAAGCAAACTATATACAAAAATGTATCTAAAATATTCTTAAAAATCCAGGTGTATTATTTCATGGAAGTTCACATCTCTCCTTTTAGAACAGATAAGGAACACTAATATGTTAATCTCCAAGGCCATCTGGTTGTAATTTATACAGTAGCATCATTGCAGGGTCTTGTAAAAACATTTCACTGCAGTAAGCAGTAAAGGGCAGCACTCGGCACAAGCCTCAAAGGACACAAAGGTGTGTGACGACTGAAGGAAGTCTCAGACCATCATGACATGGCAACCTTTCTATGTCATTGTCTGCTATGTTATAAAGAGCTGATTCAATTCGATAGAGGATACTCCCAGGTCTAGTGAAAGTGTAACTAATACAGACTCTGCTGAGGAGTTACCATGCATTACTAATGAGAGACACGCAGCTAGAAAGTTGTATGCCAGCTTGCAAAGCTCCTGAAGCTGTATGTAGCTACCAAGCTTGATGTCTCCTTTTCTTTTGCTTTTTTTCATTGCATTATTTTAAATAATGCATCCAGCTATTTAACTTTTAAAAGACTTAAACACACTGTAGAAATACCTAGTGCTAAGATGCCATCGTAATCAGAGCCATTAATTTGGATAAATGTCCTATTACTAAGTTATACTGAAATGAACATTGTGGGAAAGCTCAGTTTCGTGATACCTTGGAGTATGTTCTTGCTTCATTCACTGCTTTCCTCTTTGCAAGGTAAGAACTTTATTTCATTTTTGTAGTTATATTAACTTTAAAAAAGATTTTTCTATATATTGTAATATTACAGCTCCTTCTTTTTCTATCATTATAAAGCAGTTTTTTTTTGACCCATGCTGGAAATCATAAATAAAAAAGATTTTTAACACAGGTTAAAAACCTATAGATCACCATTGGATCTCACAGGTGTAGAAACTAAAATAAAGCTCTTGGTTTTTTAAAAAAAATACACTTTGAATTTGTTACAAAACAATTATTAGGAAAAAAATTAAGTTTCTTGACTTTCTTGCCATTATTGCCAGATGAGTAAGCGTCTAATGATTTTCAATAGGGTATGATTTTGTTTGAACAGACTGAACCTGCGATATGCTTAAGCATTTTAGAATGGTAGGGTAAATAATATCTCTTCTGGTTTTAAAAGTGATCCTGCTTTCTGTATAATGCAAAGGGATCTTGCAGATAGTTTTATTGTAGCAATTATAAAGATTTCTAAGGCAATGTAAGAAAGAAGGGGTTTGGTTGTCTATTTTGTTTGTTTGTTTGTTTTTTTTTAAAAGCATGGACTCTAGATAATTTATAATTATTTACAATTGGGTCTCACAAGTAACATTCAGAAAATGATTATAGGTAACCACCCTAGAAGTTTGTTTCTGGAAAGCTCTGAGCGCTTTTGTATTTTATCAGTTTTGTTCTGAGTCTCTGAAGAGCTATGAACCTTTACTCTTTTTCATAGTAGTGTGTACCAGAACTGAGAGCACAGAAACTCGCAGGTGAGAGAATCAAACTCTCAGGATGGAAAGCATATAGTCCTGCAACCCTTGGAAACAGAAAAAGTTTGTGTTAAGATGCTCTGGAAAACTTAGGATCATTAAAGAACAAAATTCAATAGTGTTGTTTTAAACTTGACAAACTATTGTCTGCCAAGTGCAGAGTGAGACTGTTGAAAAAACATTTAACTTGACTTTTTAATCTACAGGATCTTATTGCAAGCTTTCTCTTTTGAGAAGAACTTCAAGGTAAGTTCTTATTCCTTATTTGTCAAGTACTGCAAACAGAACAAGAATGAGTAAGTGTGATGTAGTGCAAGTTAGAAAGTAAAATATAGCCTTGAATTTGACATGTAAAATGTCATGTACACGTGCATTGGATGTAAAACACACTTTCAGAGTGTTTACAACTCATTTCAGAGAATTTACATAAAGGCCATGGGTCCTCTGTTTGAGAAATAGATGTCCTTATGAAAAACGATTCTTCTGTGGTCTCGAGAAAGCTTAGAGGAATAATGGAATGAAACCAGGATGAGATCATGATTTCATGACTGGAAAAATACATTAAATGAGTATCCTTCTAGTATTTTAATTGCATGATAAAATCCTAGCTGCTATTTGAAGCACAGAAAAGTAAGTGCTATACAGTCTTAAAATAAACATTTTCAATACAAGTTTTCATGTAGAAGCTGAAATCCAAACAAAACCCAAACTAGGGAATGTTCCTGATCTCATTGAATTAAATGGGAACTATGCCATCAAATTCAATGGAAGCATCCAGTCGAATGTAGCTTCAGATGTCTAATGACATCTAATACATCTAGCAAACACATGCATGTCAAATGATACGCCATCTTGGACTGTTGATAAAACTAAGTATGTTTTGTAGTTTGATGCCCTTGTTTCCAAACTTAATCACAAATTTAAGTCAGCCACAGCTGGAGAGTCATCTCTTGCTATTAAAAGTACCATCACAGTATATTCTAACAACACTTGAGGGAACTTGCAGCCACTTACACGCAGAGTCAAGTAAATATGAAGCTGCTTTACAATTATGTATCCTGTCAGGTAAGCCTGTTTTGCCTATTTATGTCTCGCCCAGAAGATCCAGGTACCACCACCCTGTCCAAGCAGAGATCGGAGTGCTGCCCAATTCTGTAAAATGAGCCCACAAAAAGAAAAAAAAAAAAATAAATCACCTTTTAAAATGTTAACCCAAGAAAGACCTCTTTGATAAAATGATGGTAATCAGAGAGAAACACTTCTCTCTGGGGAGCTGCTTATTCAGGTTGCTCCATGGACCTTTGATTATATAAGATCCTTTTTGTTTTCTTCCAGAAATGAGTTTAATGCAACTCAACAGAAAAGAGATCTTGTAACAGCTGAGGTAGGTTATACCTCCAAAAGCCGGAGGGAGGGGAAACCCTCCTCCCTTTCTGCTCCAGGCCTTTGCTGTCCTTACAAAGGAGCCTTTGTGGGGAGAAGGGCTGCGGTAACAGGAGGACAGTGAGCAGGAGCAGCTATTCCCTACCTGCTCGCCCATGGCCTCATGCCTTCATTCACTCTCAGCAAAGCAAAGCCTGACGAGCCGACTGACGCACACCATGGGAAATAGAACCGCGATGCCTCTGTCTTTTGTGAGGGCGAACAGAGAGCCCCGGGAAGCTGTGAGTGTTTGGTGAGAGCCGCGATGGCGGCGCCAGCGGCATGGCTCCCTCCCACACGGGCTGCGGTGGTGGCTCTGGCCTGGCCCTGGTTCCTACCGCCCCGGCCCACTGCTGCCTCAACGCTGCATCCCGGCCATGTGGCACTGGCATTTAATAGTAAATGGGGGAATCTCATCCCCCTGCTGGTACATGTCTCAGGCTACGGAGCCCAAGCAAAGGCAAGCGGGAAGCCCAAGGTGGCCCCTCCTCATGGTCTTGCAAGGGGCCTGCAGCCAAACCACAGATGGTTTTTTTCTGAGACCCTTTGAAATCTACATGGCTCCCGACTGAGTCAGAAGGTCTCTGGTGTGAAATGCTGTGCTAAGGCGAATCGAGCCTCTGAGGGAAACGGGCCCTTGGGGCTGGTGGTGTCCCAGGAGAGCCTTCAGCCGGAAAGAGCTGCCACAGCAAGGATGCTCTACCTCCCCAAAATAGCACAAAGGCCAAAACCCGCTTTCCTGAGGAGGACGGCTCAGAGTAACTATCAGGGGAACTGGAAATGAGTCTCGTTGTGCAGGGAGGGAAAGGAATCTCTCCAGCTAGTGATGGACCATGGAGACCAGGAATAGTTTTGGTGCAGGGGCCTTCCAGGTGGTGAGTTCGACGAAGTCCATTTTATGTTGATTTTAGAGAGATTGTGCTACTTGAATGCATCCCACAAAGTATTTCCAGTTGGAAAAAGGAAGTTTTTACGTCACTGTATGAGACATTAGTGAGACTTAATGTAACCTGTTCCTTGTGCAGTGCTGTTCACTCTGAGATCCATTAGTTCAAACTCCAGACGTGGAGAGTGACTGACAGCAGGAGGGAAGAAAGAAATTAGTTTACAAGTGAAGACTTAGACAATTTGGTTTACTTAATTGTGCAGCTGAAGGCTGGCATATACACCTGTGAGGAGCACAGAAGGGTAACTGTTTTCTCATAGAATGTCAGAGAGGGAATAAATAAAAACCATGGGGAAGAAGAGGTATTTAAGCAAAAGGGCCAGGCTTTATAAAACAAAAGGATTTAAACAGGCCATGGATAAATGTAAGAGGGAAATATTTAACTACTCAGCACTTCACCCTGGTAAACTTTCCAGTCAGACTAGTCGGGGGAAAAAACCCCAGAGTGCTTTCAGCCTGGAATGGGATCAGTTCTTGGAAGGGATGATGCGACGTGACAAGCTGCAGTAGCAGAGTGCTGGGTCAGATCCAAGGCTTCCTTATAGTCCGATGCTCCACAGTTCCTAAACAAGACAGGAAGCAGATCAGGCAGTTCCACCTCCTCTTTTGTTAGGGATGAACCGAAATGCATTTCTGAAGAATCTCAAGGAGGACGTGAAATCTATCGCAGCTGGAATGGCCACAGTGGGGATGATCAGGGTGTACACAGAGAATGAGTTAGAGGACAGGATGAAGTGGAAGGATATCACATCTTCAAGCTCTCCAATTATGGGTATTTGACTAAAGTGAAAAGGGAAGGACTGCTCTCTGTCCCTTCACCTTCAAAATGTAAATGTAAAAATTCCCAGGTGGAGCCCCACGAATTCATTGGCACTGGAGGGGATGGAGAGGAGGCCAGTGGTGATCCCACAGCCCAGCTGTATCCTTCCCTATGGCTCCAAAAGCCATGCTTCTCCTCCCCATCATGGTGGTTGCTGCAGTCACTGCCTTCCCCACTGGCTCAGCCTGCTGATCCTTCCTGCAACACCCATGGCTGTGTCATGTGCTGGCCCAGCCGCAAATGACTCTTCTGTATTAAAAGTCCCAACCCAATGTTAGGCTGCAAGGCCTCCAGCTCATATTGGCTCATTTGTAAAGCACAAACATCCTGATTTTGCTTTTATGTTTCTCTGACAGATTCAAGTTCCCTCTTTTCGATCACACCTTCATGAGACCTTGACGTGGAGTCCGCCAGGTCAGTGTCGTGCTCCTTAACCGCAGGAGGAGAAATGGTCCTGAATATGCTGCCTTCCTACTAGCTCTCCTGTGTTACCATGGGCAGTGAAAGCCCTGCTCGTTATGTCCTTTACAAAACCCTGTCGTGTCTCATTTCCTTGTTTTATCTGTGTTAAATACTAGGAAATTTCTGTCAAAATTGTACTTTCAAAATAATGCCTTGCAACCAAATCTGAACAGCTGACTAAGCAAATCCTTTGATTATTTTTTTAAGTCTTAAATTTTAAAGTTTGCAATTTTTCTTTTCTGCCACTTTTTCTGACCTTGGCAGGAGATGTTAGTATGTCTGAGGCATGTAACTAGTTTTACAAAGGCACAGGGGTGCTCAGGCAATGAGCACACAGCTGCTCCTGGAGGGTTTTAAGCATTCTACAAACATGTAAAGCAGGTCCAAGTTACAGAAGTTGTTTTGCAGAAAAGTTTATTGTATGCAATTGAACTTTGGTAGCCTTCTTGGAAAATACGTATACCTGGGTAGGTGCTTTCTGTTGTGTTTTTCCATGTAAATGAGTATATGTAATTTTAGAGCTCATAATTCTAGCAACAACAACAACAAAGAAGTTTTTCATATTAGTGCATTTCTCCGTTGTATAAACAGTATTTTCTGCCTTGTTGGTATTTTCAGAGTATCTGTGTATATTTGGAAAAAAATTCTTAAGTGGAAAAAATTCAAAACTGAGCATGGAAAGGAGTTTTCACAGTGAAGGCTGATGTTCTTAATAATTGGTAACTTCCATGTGTGCTTTACTGTAAAGGTCCCATTTTCTTCCCTTTTAATGTCACTAGCAGCTTTACCACAGCTTCACTGGTAGTGGAAGGGCCTGTTTATTTAATTTACTTCCTGCTTTTTGCAATTTTTTTTTTAATCTCCGTCAGCAGGATTGTAAGAGTTTGTACCTAGGTTTTTAATCCTCCCACAAGAGGGAAAGCAACTGTTTGCAAAATCTGATGAAATTTTGCTTTGGGACTACCTTTCTTCACTTTTGGGGAACTATGATTTAGACCCACCTCAGTGAATGGTTAGTAGATGACAGTGAGGTCTTAGCTTCCAAAACAGACTATGAAACCCTTTAATGAAACTGCTTATGGAAACAATTACTAATTATAACATAAAACAAGCCATTCCCATGGAATCTTAAGTCTCTGACTCCAGTCACCTCTTAAGCAGAAATAACCTTTTAACTGACTTCTTTTAGCAGGGAGGAAGGGTTATTTATAATTGGTTTTGACTTTGCAAATTATATATTCTGGACTGTTCGTAAGCTGAACGTACCCTTTGCTGTAATTCTTAGGAGGGAGAAGCTGAACATATGTATAAATTGTGCTGAATTTAGTCAGCTAGAATAATCTGTGTCCTTTGTATTTCAAGATCAGCAGGACTGGGATTTGGTTTCTTTTCATGGGAACTTGACCTTTTGTTTGCTGGGAGGAAGTTGACCTTTTGCTCCTTTGTTAGTTTACAAGTCTCAAACCAAATAAGAGAGAACCTTGCTTCTCTTTTAACCAAGGAAAACAAAGGATAAAATTCAGTAAATGTTAAAAACTGGAAATTGTTGTTGCTTAATTTTCTTAGCTAATATAGCTGCCTATGTTTTAACAATAATCAGATTTATTGTGGATCTCAGTCTGTTTACAAAACACTCTACCTACTAAAAGGCTGCTATGCTTGCTTACAGGTTCATGTCCTCAGGAGTGCCTTAATGGAGCAGTCTGCACAGAGGCAGGTGACTGTGACTGTCAGTTATTTCAGGCTCAAGGAAGCAGGTGCCAAATTGGTAAGTTTTAGGTCAAAAGACTCAAGTTTCAGCTTCAAGTGAGATTTAAGGTGCAGGTTTTAAAGACAATACTGTTAACAGCATATTTGTGATTCCTCTGCAGTAGAACTGTCATTCCACTAGTAGCTAAGAGGACTAAAGTGGTATGTGTTAGGCATATATGAAGAGCAATATGAGGAATGCTTACATTTTAGCACTTGGACTGTAATGATACGTAGATACCATAACAGATAGATCACTGTATAGTATATCAGCAGCTAGCCAGCTTTTTTATAGTTAACTGAACAATCAAAAAGTCACTGCATTTTTCTAACAATGACTTATTGCAGATAAAATTATCTGCAGCTATTTCAATGTACTGGTTCCTGGAGTCTGCTGTGTGTAGGGATAAACAAGAATTGTCTTCCAGGATCTGCAGTAGATCTAAATCCCTTGCCTCTACTTATAATTAAAATGTCTCCACTGAAGCAAATTAATAACTTATAATGCTTGCACGTGATAAAACTACAGCCTAAAGATTAAAAAAAAAATGGACTGACTTTATTTAAAGTGGAGGAAATGAAGTTATCTTTTGTCCTTGCTATGTATTTCCTTTATATGGTCTTACTCCCTTTCTGAGCTCTTTTGTAGATGGCTGTGACACTTGTCAATTTTTTATTACTGTGCTTGTTGTAAACTCCGTGTGTTCTCTCCAGTACCTAACACTGGGAAGGACCGAGATGGGATTTGCAAATCGTGGGGACAGTATCATTTTGAATCATTTGATGGCATCTACTACTACTTCCCAGGAAATTGCTCCTATATTTTTGCAAAAGACTGCAGTACTCCAGAACCCCAGTACACTGTTTGGGTAAGTGTGTGAGCATATGCTAGAAATAACCCACTGAGTATTCCTGTATTATAGGACATCTTTTTAATCATAAGTAAAATAAGTAGAGAGACAATAAATGGATCAAACTGCTGCATTACTTACTTAAATACAAAACTATGCTGCTAGAAAATGTCCAAGGTTGTGTGCAGTATCTCAAAACACTGATGAAATTATAATCAACAGAGTCAGTATATTAAAAATAGTATTTCTTACTCCCCCTATCCTAAAAAGGATCTCTGATCTCTCCTTTTTGGGAGCAAAAGTGGATCTTAAAGCAGACCTTGGAAACTTCAATAAACTTTAGTTGTCAGATTGTAAAAAATAAAAAAGAAAGAAAAAAGGGTTACTGAATAAAGTGCAAACAGCCATCACCTACCTGATAGCTGGGTACCTGAGCGCTCTGGGCCCCAATTCACAGCAATTAGCATGCTATGGGGAGATGTGTCCCTGGCCCACGGAAAACTCTGTCCCCTCTAGGGATTCGTATTCTAATTTTGGATTACCTCTATGTCATGCAGAGAAGATTAACAGCTCAAAAGCCATCTTGACCTATGGGAGAGTTCTCCTCAGGGAGAATTCAAACCTATACCCTCTTTGAAGGAAGATGCCCTGTTTATCAGGCTGTTGGTTACTGTGGGGAAAGGATACAAGCTCATTATGTTACTTTTTACACAGTGGTTGGGATTTGATGCTGATTGGGCAGAGGAGAGGGGACAAAAGGAGTTCTAATTATGAGTCCTGATGGTCACAGTGCTTGCAGGGGCAAGGCAGACCTAGATGCTGATTTCTGCTCCAAGGACTAGTGTCCATTTATAAACACACGACTTCCTCTCCCCCCAGGTAATAGCATCTAGTGAAGATAAATTTTCCATTCAAACTGCCATTTCTATTCACTCAGGTTATAGACAGATGCTTCCACAATTTAACTTTAATTCTTTGAATTCTCTGTGCAACTGTATTATTTTAGGATTTTTCACCAAATGGTGTAGCAAAGACCAAGATTATATTAAAATCTAGAAGTAATATTTCAGTGGATTCCAATTGCTCTGGAAAGAGAGAAATTACCATTCAGTTGCTGGAACAAATGTCATGTTTTGCTAAAAACTAAAAATGTTTACTTAGAAAAGTCGTAAGTAATGTTGAAGCACTGCAATCACTACAGGCTGGGCAATGGAGAGCCAAGAACCTTGCCAAATCCTCACATTGTGGTCCTTCTGTCTTTAATAATCCACCTCTCTAGAGAAGAAGAAAACATAAGAATTATTTTGATTTTCCTTGATTGTGTCTCTGTCTTGGGCCAGTTTTGCATAGAAACCATCTGTCAATACTAATAATATTTATGATATCTTTAATTATTATTATCTTTACACATGTGAAAACTAATGCTTTTCCTGGTTTGTCTTATTTCACTCAAAGAAACAGTAACTGGTTTTTACTTCCAGGATTAAGTGTCAGTTCAGGAAGATTAATTTGAGTATGTGTTATCACTGTATGTGTTCACCAACAGACCTTTTTTACAAAAACAATAGCTCTAGTTTACTTTTACAGCCTCCATTACTGTGTTGGTAAAATGTTTCCCAATTACTAATCTGTTTAGCTTCACAGCACTGTCAAGTAAACTGGTACTGCAACTCCTACCCTTTGCAGAGAATGGTGACACACAGTCATAGGAGTCATATTTGAGCTATCTGAACTCTGTCTACATTTTAATTTAGGTAACAATAGGTATTTAAGATTCACACCACAGTCCCCTGCCTCCTCAGTGGTGTCTAAAACCAGCTCTCAGGCTTTTGAAGCACCATAGTCCAGGACATCCCGCAGGTTTGAGTGGCTCAGCCCCACTGAGATTTATGAAAGCTGTTGGAGTTTTGCTTAAGCCCTTGGAGTAGGTATGTGCTTAAAACTCAGACTACGTGAGTGTAATTCAAAACGGTGTGGTAGTTAATTGGTTAGAGCATATACACAGAAAGTTGAAGACTATCCCTATCATTAGTCAGAATAAAGCTGAGCCCACAGTTTTCAAGTCCTGAGAGTGTGTCCTGGCCAGCAAAAGCTGTGTGATCCCTGGGGACAAGAACCTTCCTGCAGGAGTCATGCTCTGACACATCAAAGGCTGGGAATGCAAAGGAAGTCTGACTTCAGGGGTAGCCTCCTTTTTGCCAAACCATAAAAAGGAAGAGTGCTGGTTTATCATGCCTGTTCCAAGGTCTGATTAATACATTTCTTATGTGAGATCTACTTCACCACTGTAAAACTGTAGACATGCTGAGATAGGGAGTTGCATGGTTTCCATTTCTGGAAGCATGCATCTGAGATCTGTTTAACACTTCTTTCTAGTAGTGGGCAGTCATGGTAGTCATACATTGCCAATATCTGAGACACACAATTCTGCAACTCTTTCTCTGGCTGTGGAGAAGCTGATACGTGATTCAAACCAATACCCTGGTCACTATGCTATATATGTATAATGGGGAGAGGCAGATTTTGGAAAAGCCTGCCTTTCTCCATTATCAGGGCTGTAAAGCCAGTTTGAAATGGATTTTAACAGATCCACATAAGTTAGATGCCTGTAGGAGCACTCAAAAATCTTAACAAATCCCGAGTGGTTCAAGAAGTCATATTGTAGTTCAGCTGGTGCCAATCTCATCTGGCATGGAGAACACTGCTATTACACTGAGATTTTGTATTGGTTTGTAGTTCCCTCTTATAAATCAGACCTCTATTCTAGGGGAATAGGGGTGTCTCCTCTGTGGAAATAACAAGCTCCTACGTTGTCATTTATAAGCTATCTCACTACAGTGTCTCTGAAATTCATCTACATAAAAATACCTGAGCATTTCATCCAACATTTAAACCACAAATGCCTTGTGATGCTTTGTGCCATTAAATAGTTGCTATGTTGCTCGGTAGTACTGGGGAAGTGTGGACTGGATGATCAGGTAGTGAGATGGACTGTTAACTGGCTGATGGGAAGAAGCCAGAGAGTTGTGGTCAATGGGGCAGAGTCTAGTTGGAGGCCAGTATCTAGTGGAGTCCCTCAAGGGTCAGTACTAGGACCAGTTCTATTCAATATATTCATCAATGACCTGGATGAGGGAGCAGAGTGCACTGTCAGCAAGTTTGCTGATGATACAAAGCTGGGAGGAGTGGCTGACACACCAGAAGGCTGTGCTGCCATCCAGCGAGACTTGGACAGGCTGGAGAAATGGGCGGGGAAAAATTTGATTAAATACAAGGGCAAGTGTAGGGTGTTGCATCTGGGCAGGAACAACCCCAGGCTCCAGTATAAGTTGGGGAATGACCTATTAGAGAACAGTGTAGGGGAAAGGGTCAGCATCTGGGAGTCCTGGTGGACAGCAGGATGACCATGAGCCAGCACTGTGCCCTCATGGCCAGGAAGGCCAATGGCATCCTGGGGTGCATTAGAAGGGGTGTGGTTAGTAGGTCAAGAGAGGTTCTCCCCCCCCTCTACTCTGCCCTGGTGAGGCCACATCTGGAATATTGTGTCCAGTTCTGGGCCCCACAGTTCAAGAAGGACAGGGAACTGCTGGAGGGAGTCCAGCAAAGAGCGACCAAGATGATTAAGGGAGTGGAGCATCTCCCTTATGAGGAAAGGCTGAGGGAGCTGGGTCTCTTGAGCTTGGAGAAGAGGAGACTGAGGGGAGACCTCATTAATGTTTATAAATACGTTAAGGGCAAATGTCATGAGAATGGAGCCAGGCTCTTCTCAGTGATGCCCAACGATAGGACAAGGAGCAATGGGTGTAAACTGGAACACAGGAGGTTTCGCTTAAACTTCAGAAGAAACTTCTTTACAGTGAGGGTGACAGAGCCCTGGAACAGGCTGCCCGGGGAGGTTGTGGAATCTCCTTCTCTGGAGACATTCAAAACCCGCCTGGACGCCTTCCTGTGTGATCTTGTTTAGGTTCCTGCTCTGGTAGGGGGATTGGACTAGATGATCTTTCGAGGTCCCTTCCAATCCCCTGACATTCTGTGATTCTGTGTAGCATGAACTTCTAGTTTTGCATATCTCTGTAATCATTACTTTTTTATATGCTAAGTATTTATTTGTAAAGCTTTTTCAGTGATTGATGCATAGAAATGTAAAATATCACTAGTATGAATTTATGAAAAATTGCATGAAATTGTTGAGAACAAACATTTATTCTTATTGTGTGTATATTTTTCCCCTCTAAGGTTCATAACAGCCCTCACTGTTATGGTTCAGTATATACTTGCGAGAGGTCTGTCAGCTTATTTTTTTCAAACCAAGAAGAAATAATTATTTCAGGACATGAAGTAAGAAAAGACGGAATCAGGTTCGTGTTCTAATGGTGGGTTTTAACATTTTATTGCAAAAAGTTAGCGTGGAGCTTGGGAATTTGGTGATTTTTACACGAGCCAGAGAAAAGAATTTGATAGATATCTTTATTGATATCACTCACTGTTCCGTATTGGGGCTGCTAGAGCTCTAGTGTGAGCAGATGTAAGGGTGCTGATGTAATACCTGAGTGAGGATAGCATACACTCTCCATATGAACCTTGTGTTCAACTTCTCAGCTGTAACCTATTACCTATCCTTACTTTGTATAGACAAAGTCAGCATCAGACAGTTCTAGATAATTCTTGGTGCATCCTGATAGCATTTTGCACAAGGTAGTTATAGTTCATGCTTGGTAGCTATACTTAATGTAAGACAAAAACAACTTCTAGACATGTCTGAATTGGTTGAATCAATGCCCCTTTGGGGCAAAAACTCCACAGAACATCTCTGAGTTACATCAAACCCCCGAATTTACCAATTTTTTTTTTTTTTAATAAATAAAAAGATGAGTGCAAGGCTATCATAAGTATGTTTTAGCGGTTAATAAAGTACACAAAATTTCAAAGAGTTGTTAAGATGTTCTTACCATCTCTTCTGATGGAATGCTTTAACCATTAGCATCTGAAATTGATAGCTACAGTGTTACTGTGCATCCCAACAGAAGCAATTTTGGAAGATTAGGATTAGATCCATGCTGCAATGTTATTGCCCAATGGTCTTTGGTCGAAGGAGGAAGATATACCGTGTTTCGGTCAATAGTGTTTTCTGTTCTGTAAGTTCCTCTATTTGCAGACGTCTAACCCAGTGATGATCCTGTGCCCAGAAAAGCTGCTGGTGGTCATAGTGTCACATAGTTCCTCACACAACATAGCATGCTCATGAAGTCATGTATTCCTCAACGTGCCCATGCTGGGCTTTGAAAATGAAGACTCATTATTCTTTCAGGCTTATAATTGGTACAACTGATAGGTGTATACAGCAGAAAAACATTAATTTTGATGGTCCATATAGGGAAGTAAACAGAAGAAAAGATAGTAAAATATGACAAAGACTAGGATGGGAGTGACTATATACACTTGGGAAAAAGGGCTTAGTGAGTTAGAAGGTGATGTTTTATATGGTATTTTTCTAGCACTAACTTCATCTCATCTGAGGTCTTTGAAACAGGCCATTTATTTTTCCAGATTAACGTTGCCTCAGACAGTTGGAAATGCTTTCCTTGAGAGACTGGCTGACTATATTCTGGTGAAGACTACCTTTGGTTTTTCTCTTGCTTGGGATGGAAACTCTGGTATTTATATTAAGCTGACAGAAGATCATAAGGGAAAACCTTGTGGCCTCTGTGGAAATTTTAATGGCAATAAATACGATGACCTGATACTGCAAAATAGTAAGTAAATAGCTTAGAAATACACCCTTACCTTGTGTGAACAGCTTCCATGTTCACTTTAACTATAATACTGTAAAAAGGCAGAAACTTGTTTCAGTTATTTCAGTAGAAAATAAAATATCTGCTCTACTCTTCCTCATTATTAAAGATGCTAAGGGAAAAGATCCTAGTTCCAGAAAGTATTTATATGTATGTTTAAGCCTATTCTTGCTCAGCAAAGCACTTAGAGTATGTTTATCTTAGACTATGAAAGTGCCTTCAAATAATAAATAAATAAACAAATGCTTGTAGTTCTCTCTATGGTTAAAGGTGGAGGGAAGAGGAGAGAAGAGCCAAAATATTAATATTTGGAAAAAGCACCATCTTGAGTCATACCTTTATATGAGCACCATAAAAATGCTAGTTGAAATATGTAAATTTCAAAAGCTGTTGCCAGGGAGTTCCTTGTATCTCTGTTGGTATGGTGTATTATGGGACTCCAACTACCCTTCAGGATGAGTAGTTGCTCGATGCTGTGTCTGAGGCAGAGATGACTTGCTAAACTGGTAGGATATTCTGTAGTCTATGAAGGAAATACTCTATAGGGATTTTTGTCCCACTTGCAAATAATGTGGGGGGAAAAAAAAAGAAAAAAAAAAAAGAACAAGCTTGAGAATATAAGGAATATTTTTCTGAGTCTCTGATAAAATCAAAGATAGGATTGTTTTATTGTTATCATTAGTTGCTGAGAGAATCTAGTCTCAAGGCCCTGCATATTCTCAAGTCACAGAAGTTATCTCACTGTAACTCTTTTCCCCTCCTCTGTTTTTCCCCTCCTCTGTTTTTCCCCATTTTTATGGTTGATAGCAGAACTTCTTCTACTTTTTATGTGAAGGGAGATGCAGTGTGTACCTATCTTTCTATAGCCTTTAAAAATCTGGCCAGTATAAATTTCTCATACCTCTTCTGCTGTGAGTGCAATAAGTTCTCCTGTTTAATGCATTAACCTTAGTATACCAGAGTATAGTGTGTTTACTAACTAGTTAAAACTGGTGATCTGTGTAATAGTGGAGAAAAATGGAGTGTGGAGGAGATAATGAATTCACATGATCTCTAAAAAAATAGTAATTTCAGTATCTTTAAGTGTATTATCTGTTATAAAAGTCTTCCAGCTCTTAGTTTTCTTCATTTCCAAAGCTACATTTCTTCACCATCATAATTTCTTCTAGCATTTTCTTTATCAGAAATTATAGCGTTACTGTAGGGTACAAATGAGAGCACTATGAAGAATTTTAACCTTGAACAAGTTGTATAACATGGTGCCTTGACTTTCTGCAAATACAAAGCAGGATATTTTGTGATATCTTCGCAGGAATGGACTGCTGATTCAAAATACTTCTAAACCACAACCTTTTTCTCAGTGTTTCCAAATCTTATAAATAATTTTGGATGTTGATTTATCTCCCCCAGATAAACTACTTCACTTAGGAGTGTAAGGGAAGCTCTTACTTCTATCCTGAGACTTCCAGCATCTGAATGCTCTTTATTTGCAATGCCCCAAATAAATAACTGACTGAGAGACATGTGATATTCCGTTTCAAAGCACAGATTAAAAACAAACTAATTTTCTGTTTCCTTATCTTCAACTTTAATGGAATCTTTGTATCACTTTAATATACAAGGCTGTATCTGTATATAGAACTGTCTCAAGTACAGTGCTTTCATTTGGCAGCATTTTTTGAGGACTTAGAAGTCCTCCTTTTTTCAAGCCATAGTGGCTCCTTTTTTCAAGCCATATTGGAATGTAAATAAAATATTTTTAATGTTTTTGCAGAAGCAGAATTATGTTAACAGGTTTACCTCTAGATCAAAAGCCAGCCATTTATATTTGGGAAGGGTTTTCTGCATAAAGAACTATTCTGTCAGGGAGGGAGAAATGTTTTAAGTCTCCTTGGCTCTTAAGTAAAATAGACTGGTGGTTAGGATCTGATCTTAGTTTATTTGTGGAGATGCAAATATCTGATTAGTGTGCCTTAGGGCTTTCCAAAGAGTGCAGAGTGTCAAACTTTGTACATCCTGTGCTAGAAGAAGTTAGATTAAGTTTTGGGTAGTACAGCTCTGTGAAAAGAAAAAAAAAAAATGTAGCTGATTTCATTTAAATGTGCTATATCCTAACCATGCATCGATATAGATAAGCATAGCATAGATACAAATTACTGTAAGGTTCTTCAAGGTGGAGGCAATATACCCTTTTAAATGTACTTAAGAACATAGAGAAAATGTAATATTTAGTTCTTGCTGCAGAAATATGGAAATTCTGGATTTGTTTCTTTACTGCTAACCTTCTTGTATGTTCATGTATCTTCCTCAGCCTGTTGCCATGACTTCCACTCACGCATCTTGTTCATTAATTCTCCCATGCTCATGCTGTGAGGAGAGCTGGGCATGTAGTGGTGTGTTTGTTGTAGCGCTTTTCTGTAGCAAAGGAAAAGCAGGGAGATAATAGTGGTAACTGACCTTTGCGAAACACAATGAAAGCCTTAAATGGCTTTAAAGAAATGTATTTTTTCTTAAATATTCAATGCATTGCACTTGTCCTTATTTATATATTTGTTATAAAATTGTCAGGATCGCACTTAAAAAAACCCCAACCAACCCCCTGTCATATATATTTTTTATATTTTTATTTAAATGTAGTATAAAATACTATCTGAAATTAAAAAAGAAAAATAATGTTTTTATACACCACTCATACTCTGAACAACTACCAGAAATTTCTTAACTGTGTTATATGTTTGTGTTGACATTTTTTTTTTCCTGAATAATCTTACAATGTTTTCATGCAGTAGGTGAATATACAGAAGATATTGCTGAATTTGCAAATAGCTGGGCTGTGCAAACCCCAAGTGACGTAGCCTGTGTACCTACTGCCTCAGACTTTTCCAGTCCTTGCTCAGTTAATGCAGCATCCACTGAGGTAAATTAATCATGTTTTTTATATAGAAATATATTTTCTTAATCTTCATTGCCTAGTGATTGTCCAAGAATCTAGCAATATGCACTACATTGAAAAAAATCCTTAAATGCATTGTTGCTTTGAGAAAGGGAAGGTTCAGATCAGGACTGTTGCTAGGGAGTGTCTGAAGATCTTCAGATGTTTAGCTTAAAAGTACAAAGGCTCATATAGGATGTACCAAGTGGCACAGGTCTACTGGAAGAGCTCTTAATTGCTGCATTAACCTTGGATTCCGTTTCCAGTCCTGGCATCTCATTAGTTTGGAAATTGTGAAATACTGCAGAAGTAATACACAATGCTCCTGCATTGACACAAAATGTGTTTTTTGTCATTGCACATTCTTTCATCCCAGCTGGTTTAGGAGCAGCATGCAATCAAGCAAGCCTAGGCAGAAAGAACAATTTTTAGGAAGAATAATAACGGAGACATAATAATAAACTGAGATCCTTGATCAGGGAAACAAAGCTAAAAAGAATTATACTTGTTCAGAAAGTATTTGCTAACTGTCATTTAATGATTCTCCTTAATGCACAGGACATATTCTTCAAGTGCCAAATATTCCTACAGTTTCCTTTTCTCAGCTGTCATGAAAGCATAGATCCGTATTCTTATATTGCTAGCTGTATGAATGATCTTTGCAGGTAAGACTGGAGTTCTTGTGTGTTTATTTTTGATGCATAAAGTGAATGCTCTCTCTTTCATTTAAGACCAGAACTGAGTAGCATTGAGGGAAGTTAGGAAGAACCAAGTTCAAAGTGAAAGAGATGGGGTTTCTCAGTGGATGGTTTAGTGTGGAAACAAAGGGCACAGAACCAGCCTGCCAAGGGATATTTTGATTGCTGAAAGTTTACATGTATTCAAAGAAACACTAGACAAATACATGGGAGAGAAATACATGGAGAATTACTAATGACAAAAGAGGAGCTGCTAATCACAAAAACCCTGAAACCTGTATCTGGAGGTCCCGAATCAAAAATACATGGAGATGATACTAGGGAGAAATATTAATGAGACTGGAGGAGCTGGACCATTTGTCTGACACAGTTGGATTGTTTTTATGAGCAACCACTATTCAAATCAGTAGAATTTTTCAAATTTTTATTTATTTATGTGAATCTAGAGTTGTCAAAAGAAATTAAACTCTCATTGGCTTTGGTGGGTGTGACACCCCCTCAGCTGCTAACATTATTTGCAAGCTGGTATTTTTTCCTTAGCTCTCCAGAATCCCGTTTAGTTCTTATTATTCAAGTTAAACTGTTGGTCCAGAATGTAAGTGAATTAATGACTGAGCAGTGTACCTCTTCCTTTTTAGTAGGGTTTTTAAATTAAGAAGTAATTGTCATAAATAGCAGGATTTTTACCAGATAGTATTATGACCTTCTCAGAGTATCATCAATTTAATCAAAAACATACAGAAAAGATCACAAGACTAAAAGTAAGAACCACTCAGTATAACCCCTTACAACTTGTTAGTTCATTTTTGATGAATTTTTAGTTTCCTGCTTTACCATAAAGTCAAGACGGAAACATTTATGTTTGTAGGCAAATCTCCAAAGTGTGCTTCCTGAAGTTTAAGGTCTGTATATTCATTTTGCTCAGAGAAGGGATGAGTTACCTCTGTATGGTCTCTTTGTAACTCAGGAGTTTATTGTGAATTTTTCTTTGCAAAAGAAGAATAATGAGAAGCGAATTTTCAAATGTGATATTGAATCAGCGTAATGGTGTTAAGGTGGATTTGATTTTTGTCACCATGCATATTTGTCTCGATGTGAATTGTGTGAACATTAAAAACCTTGAAGGAAGTTTCTGTGTCAAAGAACCTCATTAATTTAGGCTTATTTTGTTTATAAAAGAGACCTCTCTTCTTGTGGCTTAGTGTCAGTTTATCAATTTTTTTGTGGGGCCATAGTATATGCCAAGTATTCTTTCTGTTAAGACCCATTTAATTGGATTAGATAAGGAAAGCTGGAGAGACTCTGATCACTGTAACAAAGAGTACAGTGGTGTTTGATGTGATAACAGATGTGTTGAAAGCAGAATACAAACACAATATAATATATTCTTAAGACCATTAGCTTTGGAAGCATGATTTTGTGTGCATATAATAGAAATGTCATGTTATGTCTAGTTCATTTTGGCATCAAGTCCTCCACAGTGAGCGATAGGAGTTGTTGGACTTTCACTGTAACAAAAGGCTGATGGTGTCTCACCTTATGTCACTTACATCTGAATGAAATTTGAGCTTACCTGAATACTGATCAATGCCTCTTTACTTGGTCCAGGCAAAAGCACACTGTACAGCTGCTTTGTATAGACTAAGGCAGAGATAATGTCTTTGTCCAAGGTCACGCTGTAAATCCCTGAGCCTGTCTACACTATTCAGTGGATAATGCTTCTGGCACTGACCATTTCAGCACAAGGTCAGGAGTCCACCAACAGGGTTCTTCTCACCTAAGTTCAAGGACTGACAGGCAATTGGAAACTTGAACTTGCTACTTGGACCAGAATGCCTTTTATCAGTGTAGGTTAGAGTTTCTACATCATGCAGGAGGTAGAGGGCCTGGGATGTGGAACTTGAAACTGTTGAGGTGTCCATTGTCTTCAAGACAAAGTCATGTTCCTCTTTCACCACAAACAGCATTTATATCTTTTGTAATAAATTAGTGGGTTTATTCATTGTGGTAATATTAGATAACTTCTTGTGAGATCAAATGATAAAAACACAAGATATTCAGTATAACTCGTTCCTTTTCATAGTGTTTTCACTGTGTGCCGTTATGACTGAGTGGTGTCAGCTGTGTGTGAAGTATCCTGTGCAGTGTCCCGTGGTAGATTTGTAGATGGAATTTGAGTTCCTTGATTACTCTCTTGTTTTATCATTTCAGAGTGGATGATGATGAAACATACTGCAGGGCGGTGACAGAGTATGCTAGAGCATGCTCTCACGCTGGGTCCCCGGTGCGGGACTGGAGGGATGACTTTCCTGCCTGTAGTAAGACTCTTTAATAAAGCATGCTATGTGACCTTTGAGATATCCCATGTATTCATGTCAAATAAGCCCATCTTGAAAACGTTTGTCACGACAGGACTCAAACCTGATTCTGAAGTAGATCAGCCAACTTCACTATTGCTGGCAAACCATGAAGTCAGTGACTTGCTAGAGGAATATTTTAATTCCATTGTGATCTGATCTTGATTCATACAAAATTCATGTTTCTGCAGATTGCTTGAAACGTCACGTGTGCTGATCATATTGTAGGACAAAGAACAAACATTTGTGGAGATCTGATGTTGCCCCTCTTCCCAGATGACCTTTCATTGTCTACTGGCCCTGTAACAGAACTAATACAGTTAACCCAGCTCCTTCTAGTTATCACCACCGCCCTTCAATTACAGCCCAGTCTCATGCACAAGACTTTGAACTAGCTGAGATATGAGCACATGTTCCCCTGTCACAGAAACTGTAACTTCTTTTGGAGGGGTGATGTAAGAATTTGGTAAAGAAAGACTTATACTGATGAGAGATTCACCATAATTCAATAGTTAAAACCTTTCCAAACGGTCCATTGTACCTGATCTGAGTAGTTACCTATACTAGAAGCACTGCACAACTGTTTATTTGAGAGAGACGAGTTCCTCAGTTTGGAAAGAGAAATTGCCCTGATGTTCATTATACCATGTATTTTTTCTAGCTGAGAAGTGTGAAGACAGCTTTGTACACCGGGACTGTATCAGTTGTTGTCCACCAACTTGCACATTTGAAAAAGATTGTCTTGGCAGCAACCTACACTGCTTAGATGGCTGTTACTGTCCAGATGGTAAGTACTGTCAATTTTATGTGAAAAAATAAGTGTAAAGCTAATATCCAGCATCATAATAAAGTTGTCTAAATAGGTTGTGCTTAAAGTTAAAGCCTGAAAATATGAATATTATAAATTCTGCTCTAACTGTTGTTATTCTCACTGTGATTCTTCCTTTTATGTTGTTCTAAACATTTCTCTAGAACACAAAGATGGGCAGTTAAAATCTGGAGCCATCACTAGTGCTTGCTACAATAAGATATTGCATAGATTTAATCCATGTAATCTGAATTATTCCAAAATATATTGAGGTTTTGTTTAAACAGAACATGTCTTATGCTCTATACAAGAAAACATATTTCCTTAGACCTGTACTCAATAAGAAATAGGGATTGGACTGTGAACAGTCCTGTTCTAGAAGGACTAAAGATTATGTGATCTCAGAATCTTCTCAGTTTTGAGTCTGCACAGTTTTACATGTTTAAGGCAGAAATTTTTCATAAAGTAACTATTCAGAGTGACAACTGCTTTGAGAGAGCTTCACTGTTCATCACTCCGAGCTCCCTGCCCTCGTTGAGTGACTTTTTGCTGGTCCCTGGTTAAGACTGATGAGATCACTTTCTGTCATATTTGAATGTTTGAGTCAGATGGGGGAAGAGCAGTGATCCTGAGTTTGTTAATTTGTTTTTTATGTAATTTATTAACTTTCCTCCCAATAGGTCTCATTATGGAAAATGGAACTTGTATCTCTGTGTCGAATTGTCCTTGTATTTATCATGGAACTGCCTTCCCTGTAGGCTCAAAAATTGAACAAGAATGTAGCAACTGGTATGTGAAAGCCTCACGTCTGTATTTCCTCTCTCTGTGACCTCTGCCTATAGTTAGTTTAACATCATAGTGGCACTTATATTTTAAAGAATATTTATTATCTATGTTTTACAGTCAGGGCCCTGTGTATCACTAAAATATGCAGGCTGTTCTATGGAAAGGGTGAATTCAAGACATATTAATTAGCTCAAAGCTGCTCTTTTTGCTAAAGATCAGAACACTGAATTTCTGTGTTTTGTGATTTTTCTTTTCAGTATTTGTATTGGTGGCATTTGGAACTGCACTGATCATGATTGCCCAGGTACCTGTATTTCATTATTCTTTTCCCTCCTCAGCGAACATAAGGGATAAACTTTTCAGAAGACAACAGAGCCAAAAATGATCCAAGGGCTTGGGATACTCATTCAAGTAGACAGATGTTGAGAGTAGCAGTGGGCCAGCTGGGGTAAAGCTATTAAGTGCCTGACCATACTCATCTTACCTTTTCCCATTTCCTCCCCTAACTCAGTGTGTTACATCCACCTCTTATTTTCTATCTGCTGTTTACACTCTTTGTTCTTTGGGTCAGGTGTTTTTTTTCTATTGCCTGTGCAGTACCTAGGCCAAGTATAAGTATCTCTTCACTTCTAGGTGTAATTGTAATCCACATAATAAGAAAAACATCATTTTGATGCTCAGTGTGCTGTATTTTCTCCCTTGTAACAACAGTTCCTCCTTATCTTTAAAGATTACGTTTCTCTGTAATGAGTTACTCAGAGGAGCATGGCAGTAGTCAGGTAGTGAAACTCCATTGACAGTTCTGCATTTTAGACAAGATTATACTATCAAAGTCATAAAGAGAATTTTTTACAAATTAAGGAGCCACTCTGAACAAGGTAATAAACAAGGCTTAACAGTTACTAAGCTAGGCCTCTGAACAAGGTAAGAAACAAGGCAATAAACAAGGCTTAACAGTTACTAAGCTAGGTACAGGGTGAATCTGAAGTATAAAACAATTGACACTGAGAACCACTCCATATGTCCGTATGTTGAGGGTTAATTACGACTCCTCTAGTTTGGTTAGGGGGACTGAATGCCTTTTAGTAGCAGAAGCAGGTTAGATGTGCTCCCACAGAGCACCTCCTGCGGTAGTTGCAGCCAAAATGAATCTAGTTCATGTGCTCTGACACTGCTCCGTGGTGTGAATGAAAGTGCAGTAAGTGGGGACACGCTGGAGACCTGCTTCAACAGTGCACTCCTGATCTGAACTGAAAAATGAATATAGATGTGCCCTGAGGACACACGCCTGCAGCCTCTTCACGCCTGTGGCAACAAGCAGTGCCGTAGTACCTGGAAGGAAGGAGAAAGAAGCTTGTCCTCTTTCACACTCAGTCATGCCAAAAGATGATGAGGAAGAAGATTCTAGGAAACTTCAGAGTTGTAATAAAGAAAAAACTCTGTTGTATTTTGTAGAACTCGTGCCTCTAAGGCATCTCATCTAGTTAGAACCAAAAGATGCTGCACATTGGTGTCCAATATGAGAAGGTATCTGATGGAAGTAGGTGAATATAACATATTTTATTTCCAAATGCCGTAATAGCTAGATAATAACTAATATTAGTTAGCCTGGATTATGTGCTTAGAAATAAGGAGAAAGTTTCTTATTTATCTCTCTTCCATAATTTAAAGAATAAGGATGTATTCTTACACAAGCAAACATTCTTTTTTATCCTTTTCTCTCAAGCTGAATGCTCCATCACAGGTAGCTCTCATTTCACAACATTTGATGGACGTCATTTTACCTTTCTTGGGATTTGCCAGTACATTTTGGTTAAAGGCACTGGGAAAAACAAATTCACAGTCACTTTACAGAAAGCACCTTGTGGACAGGTAAGTCACATTTTTGTTGAACATTCACAACAAACATGTCCGTCCATATTTCAGGCAATCTTGTATAAGTTCTAGTGTAAACTACTGGGTTATGTTTAACAGAAAATATGAATTGAAACCATTTTACAGCTTTTTTGTAAGCGGTTTTATTACTACATGTTGTATTGCCCTTTGTAAAATCAATTGCATCTTTAGAGGGATAAAGTCTAAGGAGTTAATTTATGCACATTGAAAAATTATATACATATTTGGATATGATACAAAGAGATGTCTCAGGCTTTAGTAAAGCTGTTGCTGGCAGCACTGAACAGGTTTAATACACTACCAGTTAGGCAAGAGTTTTGGGGGTTTTTTGGTAGCTTTAGATTTTTACTTGATATGTTATAGCATATTTAATTTGTTGGAACAATGCCTTATAGGAAACTATTGAAGAGAGTAGCTACCACACATGTTTGTTTGAAAGTATTTTGGCAGGTATCAACACCAGGCTTTACGAATAGAGATGCTTATAAAAGTACTTGTCTGTGAGACTGGATTTAATTATGTTTTTAGTCACTTAGGCTCTCAGAAGGGGCTCTGAGACTGTGACTCACAGTTGCCCCTGTGCTGAGGACTGGGATGCCTGAACTCATCAGCACAGTGATGCACAGAAGCTGCCCTACTATGGGACTGCCTCTCATGTCCCTTCAAAAGCTAGGCTATGAGCTGGTGCCTCTGCTGTTTTATAAGCACTTCTTTCTCCTGTATAGGTGTTGAGACTCCTGTTTCTGCATTTCAGGTGGCCTCAAGCATAAAACGGTTGGTTAGGTAGCCACTGAGAGACGAGGATGCTACTGGAAATTACCCTTAGCATAACTCTAGGCACCTTGGAAAGTTGCTGGGTGAAGATATAGGGGCTCCAGGGAGCATAAGATGCTTGATTTAAGCTGGCTTTGTGTCACCTTTGTTCTGTACTTAGATTCATAAATTCTGCCTAGATAGCACTCTAAAATGATGAGTGTGAGTTAGTTTATAAGTTGCCATTTTTTGATAGTCAGATATTTATAAATTATTGTAGTATAATTCTGGAGAAATTGTATCCTTTTGGTCTGTAGTCAGAGATTATGATGACGTTTCAAGAGAGAAGTACCTCCATGTGTCAGTAGTTTCTTTTTCCTGCATTGTTGCATTTGGGCTCTGGTTGCACCAGCTTGATATGTACAGGGTCAGACTCTTGCTCAAACACTGGTTAACTCAGCAATGAGGAGTACCCAGCGTGGCCATGCAAGTATGGCCTTTTGAACCCAGTATGAGTACTGGGGGATCTCTGTCCCCTTACTACTAGACTGCTATAATAGCTAAAATGCGTTCTGCTTGCTTTTATATGCATATGTAATGTTTTATTATGTTCTACATGCAATTTCAGGTGCCCTATTTAAAGCTTTGAGTGATAATTTAGAACTGATTTACCTGATGACAGTTACGATATTTCCTTTCTATAAAACTATTTTTTCCCCTGTTTGTTTGTTTTTGTTTTCCATGGTAATATTAATGACTTTGCCTGTTCCTGATGGTGAAACTTGTTTCTATTTAGAACTTTGACCATGCCTGCATTGAGTCTGTAACACTAGTTCTTGAAGATGATGTGAACAAGCAAGTAACTCTCACGAGATATGGTCAAGTCCAAACTGGCCTTAACCCAGTTTTTAACCTTAATGGTAAGAAGTGCATGGAGTAGAATTTTACCAGGGTTCGCATTCTTTCTTTTACATACTCCAAAAGTTTTTAATAATATTTGTCTATGAAAAAGGAATTTCTTCAAACATAACTTATGAAATGTATAATCACTTACTTTTTATAACCTTGGTAGTGGTTCTATAAATGTACTTTTTCAACCTGTGAAACAGTGTCCTTCATTATGCCCTCATTTCTTTGCATTTCTTATCTTGCAGGGTACCTAGAAATTCCACTTATTTTGTTTGTGTTTAGGGGGAGGAGGTAAGAAAAAGAAGGGAGGTGAAGAGAAGTTGTAAATCATCTTCATGCTGATGTTAAGGTCTAGCTTGATTAAAGCTTTTTGGAATAAGTGGCATGGAATAGAATCCACGTGCTTTACAGGACCTACGTTGCTTTCAGTGCTGACTAATGTGATTTCAGGCAGGGTACTTCATGGTTTTGGAAAGGATAGTAAAATAAATCAGCCCTAGAAGTATGTTATAAAATTAAGCACTGAAGGTGGAAATGATATTGCTAAATTTTGTATATTACAGTGATCAGTAGTAAATTCTTACTGGATTTTTAGTCTCTTTCTGAAAGAATAAAGTGAGAGATCCCATTTCCTTTCCCAGCCTCTAGCAAATGTGTGTTTAGGGAGTTCTGTGCTGGTAGTTGCAGCTATGTCTTAATTGAATTTGTCCAGTCAAAATTCTACTTTCGGCTTTCACAGCTTCCTATGACAGTGAGTTTCATAGCTCAGTTTTTCAGTTATGTTGACAGTTCTGCTTCATAATTTCATTGTTAATTTCATTTTGTCTTTTGAATCAGTCCCTATTCACTTTCTTGTCTCTTCCTGTAGTCTGTGACAAATATAATCAATGACAAATGTCTTGATAATTGGGTGTATCAAGTAAGTTTTATCAGTTAAGAATATATTTAAGCTCACATAAGCATTTTATCTACCTCTTCTCAGTTTATGCAGCTAAGTGTGTGTGCATGCGTAGAGGCTGCTTGTGAAGGTAGATCTGCTTTAAGCTTGCAGCTGCAAGTAGCCCAACAATGTGTAGCAAATGAATGCTGTGACTGTGAAATTTCCATTTCCTCTTATAATGGATTTGCTGGGCAGGAAAGCTGGGAATTTGATAGGGCCTTAGTTCACATACAGTCTAAAGAAGCAACTATACTGATGCTGTATCAATAGTAGTAAGAAAGAACCTCCTCTCTAAAGATTGGAATACACTTTACAGACATCTGTTAATGTTATAACATCCCTGGAGACTAAGAAACAAATTGTTTCTTGACTTACCTTCTCATTGCCAGAGGCATGCTGTTGCATTGCTTTCTTCTAAAAAAGTGAAATGCGAGAGTGGCTTCTGGATAACTTACAGGTACAGAAAGGCGAGACATTTTCTACTGTTGACAGTAGTTGCAATTCCTGATTTGTGTTTCTAATGAAAGAGATATGTAGTATCATAAATTCAGATGGAGGATGTAGGTGAGGTTGTGCATATTTTCTCATTTTATTTCAGAATTTTCAAAATCTATTCTGTTTAAGGGGTAAATCAATACTACCTGGAAGCTGGATTTCAGTGACTTTGTTTTTCTTTTTGTTTTGCTATGTGCAGGGGCTATTGAAATTCAGAATATATCTTCTTTCTTTGTTCAACTGAAAACTAGTTTTGGTTTGAAGATACTTTTTGCTAAAGATGGGGAGAGAATCTATGTTCAAGTTGATGTTGGCTGGAAGAGAAGAACATTAGGGCTGTGTGGAACGTACAATGGGAATTTAAGAGATGATTTTCTGTAAGTTGCATATTGTACATTTAGATTATGTTTAATAACAAGTGGAAAGTTTTGTTGAATGTAAACATCTGATTATTTCATTTTGTTAACATGCTCATACTTCATTAAACAAACCAATATAAAATCTCTTAATTAGAATGTTAGTCACTTTAAAATATGAATCTCATATATTTAGCTAAGTCTTTCTAAGATGTTAAGCTAAGTAATTTTAAAAACCTATCATATTATTTATAGAAGTTATTGGATGATGGTATTGCTTGAATGTACTTTTTCCCTCATACTACTAGTATAATCCTCACTTGATTAACACTTACTACTGTTTGATTTTTTTTTTTTCCCCCACATCAAGTTTTAGTGGAAAAAAGTGTAATACTGAACCATAGGAATAGATTAATTGGAAAGGCACACTTTCCTTGCTCTTTTACTTCATTTCCTCTTAAGTTCCTCAAGATATATCACAAAACTTTTCTAGCAATAATAAATGCTTTTGAAATACTTCATGAAAAATAGCATCGAAATGCAAACAGTCCCCCTCTAGAACACTGAAATTGGCTAACAGGTCAAATTTCACTAAATGTATATACTCAAATAAAGGCCAAAGTCTCCTCTCATTAATGACTCCATCAACTGATTTCACAGTACTTGAATTAAGTGTGAGGGCAGACTTTGAGTGTAAGAATGGTTTTGCATGAGTAAAATATTGATGGAAATCTTCACATGCCTTTTCTTCTTTTATACCTCACAGATGGAAATTCTTTTGACATGTTGAATGTTCCATGTGAACATGCATCTAAGACTTTTTGATGTACTTGTGTCCTCACCTATGTGGTCTGTAAGGTCAGCAGGACACTTGCAGTGTTGATCTTTTCCTTTTCAGTTCTCCGGCAGGGATGATAGAAGGGACCCCACAACTTCATGCCAATGCATGGAAGGTTTCCTCAGCTTGTTCTGTGCCTATCAATATTCCTGTGGTTGATCCCTGCAATGTTAATCAGCAAAATGGTATGTTCTCACATGGGAGTCTGGAATTAGCTGTATATTGTTGTTATTATTATTATTATTATTATTATTATTATTATGCCATTTTTTGTTTTCTCTGTGAGTTGCACATACATGTATTTCCACTTCAGTTTTAGATGTGCACTCTTTCTTTCCCTTTTTTTTTTTTTGGCAAAGACCATTCTTTCCATACATTTAGCAAGTAAAATGTAAGTCCATCATAAATACAAGCTAGCTGATCGTTTAATGCTGGGTGTACTGGCCATGAATTCTAAATTCTGCTGTCTGATATACATGGAGAGTGCTAGGCAGAACACTGTCTGCAGTCCTGTAAATTATGCCAGTCAAGAGGAATGATGTGATGCATATTTGTAGATTGACAAAGAAAGTACAGGAGACACTGTCTTGCTGAGACAGTGTTCAGATCAAAAGTCCTGTCTCTGGCTTCTCCATGCTTGTTGCATTTAAAGTTTCCTTATCTTCCATCTATGCTCTCTGACACTAACTGATGCAAACAATCTGAGATCTGTGGATTTGTTAAAATTCCTGAGTAAAGATTTTGTTTTGGCTGGTGTTTTTCTCTGAACTTTCACTGTCTCCTCTTTTCTGTGTTTCTGTCCTTTTCAATTATTGAAGACAATGGGCAGACAGTAGTTGCCAGTTCTGACAGAATTGAGTCTAATGTTTTTAATGTTTCAGACATAAGGCCTCACTAAGGATGTGGGATTTGGCCATATTTAGAGCCTGTGGGAGCAAGCCTAGAATAACCATAAACATCTAAGAATCTGGGGCATTGTAAGACTTTTTATGTCTTCAGCATTGTCTGTCTTCTAAAGCAGTACATCTCAGCCAAGTTAGCTCTCTCCAAGATACTTCATTCCCCACCTTCAGTTCTGTGCTTCCTCAGTGAAAGTGGAGTTTGACATAAATGTAAGCTATTTAGAGCAGGAGGGTGGACTACATGACCTTCTGAGTTCCCTTCCAGCCTGAATTTTTTTGTGATCCAGTAATCATCACTGGAAAAAGCAGTCCCTGAGTAAGTGGTCCTGCCCCATGCTACCACCTGTGCTGAGCCAGCACAAACATTTTTCCCAGGTCTGTGATGAATCTGAAAAATAAATTGTTGTTTGTTTGTTTACTTATTTTGTCAGGTTACTTTTTTACACTTGAGTGTAGTTTACGGGGAGACTCCAGAAATCCTTGTGTCAGTGTGTATATGTGGGAATGAACAGGGAGAATGAAGGGTATGGACACATTTTTAGCACCAAAATTGTCTTAAATGTGATCCACACTGAGGTGTTTCTGGGATATTCCACCACTTGTGGTGGTAGTACGCTCCAGCTGAGGAGGAGGTTCTGTTGGCACTAGAAGATATATGACCAGCTTGGGACTTGCATGCACTCGAGTTCCAGTTTGTATTGCTTCCTGAGTCCACACGCCAAGAAGTGTATGGCCATTGCTGATTTCAAAGCTAAATGAAGTAGGAAAAGCTATCAAGTAGGAAAAAACATATTCCAAGCTTTGGAGGACTCTTCTAATTAACTCATTTGAAATATATTATTTTGCCAATTAAGTTTCCTGCCCTCCTAGAGGAAGGCATAACTGGTTTTATATAGTTATTTTTATCTTAAGTGGACTTTACTGTAGAGAGAATTGCTTATAATATCAGTTTTAAACTATAGAACTTTCCAGAAAGACTTTGTATACAAGCTTTTGTTGCACAACTGGCTATGTTTGATTTTATTATTCTGTGCAATTTCTTTGACAAACTGTTATCACTTAATCACAGAATGACAGAATGGTCAGGGTTAGAAGGGACCTCTAGGGATCCTCTAGTCCAGCCCTTGCCAAAGCAGGTTCACCTAGAGCAGGTTGCACAGGATCATGTCCAGGTGGGTTTTGAATACTTCCAGAGGAGATCTGGCTAAAACAATATCACCTTCTATTAGCTGAGTATGCATCTCACTGTGATATCATCAATCAAGACGTTTTTGCTCCCTGCCACGCCTACATCAGTCCAGGATTATACTACCAGCTATGCCGCTTCGACGCCTGCAAATGTGGAAGCAGCTGTTTGTGTAATGCTCTGGCACACTATGCTTACATCTGTGGCAAGCATGGGGTCGTCATTGACTTCAGATCTCACATTTCTTACTGTGGTGAGTAACGTTTGCAGAACAGAGTCTCTTTTAGAAATGTGTAAAATTCCACAAAATACAGTGATTGACCTTTTTTGCTGGAAACTAGAATTGTGCCATGGGACAATGACATCCTCGGGAGAATGCTAACAGCCTTTACATTTGGTATCTGAGTCAAAGACCCTAAGCTGCCTCACGAGGGGTTCCTGTCCCTTTCTGTTGGTTACAAAGAGAATTTAAATTTCAGACTTTGAACTTCTAAGTCATGTGGAAACCCCTATTAGGATAAAGTAGTCAGGGAGTGGCAGGAGCAGGGCCATTTGCTTAGGGAAGGCAAGCTGATTTTACAAGTAGGATACAGCAATGACTTGAAACAAGGTATTTCAAAGCATAGAGTAATGCCTCAACCTTCACTGGGCTATTCTTCCTCTCTTGGAAACCTGAGTTACTATCCAGACAAACACACACACACCAACCCCCCCGCCTCCCTCCCATATTAAAGAATAGACACCTACTGCTTACAAAATAGACAATTGCAGCCAAAGACTTGTTTAACATAAACCCACCTGAATGTAATCTGACTAAGAAATCAGTAAAATAGCATATTTTTCTCATGCATTTTAACTCACCCCAGTGCAGCAAGAGACCATTTTGCTTTGCTGTTTTGCACTCCCATGATATACTGCTTTGTTTTCTATTTTTCACATTTTAAGAGAATGTTCTCCCTTCTCTCTCCCACTCTCTCCTCCAGCTGTGATGTGTCACAGTGGTATGCATTATCATCAGTGCTCTTCTTTTTGTAAACACTCCTGTGCTTCACTTTCTATGGCAAATATCTGTGGTGATGACTGTGCAGAAGGATGTAATTGTCCTGATGGAAAGTATTTTGAAGAGTCAGTCAACTTCTGTGTATCAATGTAAGTCCCAAGAAAATGGAATATATGCATAGGCACATTTTCCTCTTTCCAGCAAGATTTAAAGTAGTTTTTCTGCTGTTTCCCTCAAGATGTAGACTGCCTAAATGGGATAGCAAGTAATATGCGAAGATTTCATATTCTTTTGTACTAATTAATAGTGGGGCCTCATTTGCTTCTGTGTGTACAGTCATCTACTGCACTTCAGAGAAGATATGTCACACTGCTTTAGAGAAGGGTGATGTAACTTTTTAAATTCATGGGAAAGCATTTTCATATGAAAACCTTAACACTTTAAAATAAATTGAGATTAAATCTATCTAGTAGCAATCCCTAAAGTCAGGCATAGTATGGACAGAGTGGCTAGGAGTGTCTTTTTTCTGTCTCATAATGCAAACCCCTTCAATTAAATGGAAGGAAATGGTCAATGAAAGGAAATAGTTTTTGTACAATGTGTACCAAAATTTTACAGCTTACCACAATGGGAAGTTACTGAGTTCAGATACTGAATTAAAAACTGTAATGAATATTTATATAAATTTCAAGATTATACAGAGTTATTGCTGTTCATTGTGACATATATTTTGTAATGATCTGTAAAGTTCATAATATAGGGATAAAGACTGTTTCAAACTATTAAAGAGTGGGAGGTAACTTAGAATTCCCATATTTTTCATGGTTTCTAGGGAATTCTGTTGCTAATTTTATTGTATCTGACTTTTATCACAGACAGTTAATGGATTTTGCTATGACAGTTCCTCTGTCCCATGATTTTGACAGTTCTTTGAATAGAAACTACATGTTGCCATACTACTCCCATAACTGGGAAGAAAAGCTCCTTTCTAAAAGACTAATGCACAGAAACAGCAAATAAATAATATGGAGATTGAGGAAAATCCTTGCTTTGTTGAAGATGACAGGAGTTTTGCCGGTGACTTTAGTACAGTCAGAGTGTAAATTTTTAGTTTTCACTTTTAGAAGTGTATTGTAAATATAGAGGTTGAGATAATGAATTATAAAACCTGCATATCATAATAGCTTGATAGATGGATTGCCCTTAAATTCCATTTCATCTTGGTTTTGTATATACATGCATAAATATTCTTTTAACAGATCTGCCTGTCATTGTCATTACAAGGGCAAAGCCCTCCAGCCTGGAGAAATCCTCCCTACGCCAACAAGCTCCTGGTAGGTTTGCGTGCCAAGAGTTTTATGTTTCATGTAGTGCAGTTTGGATGCTACTCAAGAGCCTTGAGAATTTTTTTCACAAAGGATGAAGGTCTGCTGTATCAAGATTTTATTTTTCTTACACACTTAGTAAAAGGAGGCCTAATATAAACTGGATTATGTACCTGCTTATTTTAACAACAGAATACCTGGACAATTCTGTAAGCCAAGGGACTAAAGAGTTCCTCAGAACACACACATGAAGGTTGCAGTCCTCTTATTAGACCTGGGGGCATTATCATAGCAATATGAGGCTGGTTTCAGAAGAATAAACACTGTGATTCTATTTTGGAAAGTCTTTCAGACAAAGGCTTGCAGAGAGCTATATTTGTGTCATTTTGTATTATTAATTCATGATGGAATCCTGACCTCACTGAAACAAGTGGGGAAACCTCCCACGTTTCCTGGTCAAACTTGTTCACTTTACAAGAAATGCTTTCAACCTGCTGATTTTAAATCATGTCTGTGACTTGAATGTCAAGATTGATTCTTGCTGAGGTCTTATAATTGTTGTAACTGAAGCATGGTAATCGTGTAGTTCAAGAGCTGAGAGTAGGGGCTTCATTTTTTCTGCCGTTGCTATGCCTCTGCAATGCTTTGGGTTTTACACAATTTTTTTAAAGGGAAAAGTAAAAATAAGGACTAGGTTTATTGTTCAATGTAGTTTTCTGCAATTCTGTATCTTATAATAAAAAGAATCAAGCTGTGTATCCTAATGACTGTGCAACAGGAAATTTACATTCTGTATCCTTCCATATTCACCAAGGTGGCTAAGGTTTTGTGTTACACTGCAGCATCCTGAATCGCCTGGCCCTACGTTCCCACAGAGGCTGACATACCCAGTTTCTTTATTTTAGTGAAAGTTAGGCAATTAAATAGTACATAAACACCTTTGTGAGCTTAGGCCCTCATTACAGATCAGAGGTTAGAATGCACCAACAAAATGTTGGTCTGAACTCGTGCTTTCAGATTTTAATCCTCCTTCTCCTGATTTCTGTTGTTTAAATTGGGCTAAGTTGTATTATCTTTTTTCACATGATGTCTACAAAACATTTTCCCTTTCAATAAAGACGGGTTTGCTTTTCTTTTCCAGTCAGTGTTTGAATGGAACAGTGAAATGCATTGAAGCCACTACAGAAAATACAGGTAATTTACAGTATTGTCTCATATTACAGTTGCACAGGGAAATTTTTTTACAGTGAATAATAATTTTGTTTTCTCCTCATATGTATTTTCATTATGAGATACTTAACATCATGACATACTTAAAATATGAGGTTAGGAGCATTAGTTGTCTTGTTTTCTTCTTTTTCCTTTTTCTGTGGCATAAATTTTACTACTAAGTCACTTAAGAAATTTAAAAAATAAATAATTGTCTGTGAGGTGTAGGTCAATGTGTTCTCATGGGAATACCTAAATTAGGCTCACTATCCATGTTTAGGAAACCTTAAGATCTTCATTTCTAGAAAGTAATTTTTTAATTAATTTCTAACAGATTTAGAAGGGATTTCAGCATACTGAAAATTATGCCACTTCTAAAGATTCTGTTTACCTAAGGCATAATTACTTCATCTTCAAGAACAGGCCGTGTATCAGATCCAGGGTGCATATATCCAGATGCTTAATATTAAGATTTGGTGTTTTTTATATTAAAACATATTAATTTTATATCTTTGTAATAAAAATGAAGTTATAGGCTTTTATTCCGACTGTATTATGTGTACTGTAATGTAGGCTAACTATGCATTAAAATAAATAGATTGTGAACAAAAACAAACAGAAAAACTTCAGTGTAAAAGAGCAGTTGATCTCATTTAACCTGCATTTTGCATTTGAAGTTCACATATGCCCTGAAGGAAAAATCTACTATGACTGCAGATCTCCTGTGCCTGGTTTACCAGCAGCGGGTGTGAATTGTGGGATCTCTTGTGCGAACCTTGCCATGAACTTCTCCTGTGTGCCCTCGCCACCGTGTGCAAGTGGCTGCATTTGTCCCCCTGGGTAAGATTTGTCAGAACAACCTGGAGCACAAGCCACACACATATTTTTCACAGTTTAACTGCATTTTTTTGTTTGTTTTTTGAATTCCAGTGGTGTCACACCTCTAATTTTAAAGCTATTGTTCTATAAATTTTTGCAGATATACAGTCACAGTTAAATGGCCAACTCTTTCTTTTGTCTCTGAGACCCCTTTTCTCCTTCATGCTGGTGTGAGGCTCTATGCTATAATGCTTCCTTAGTTGGAGTCCCACAGTTTCTCATCTCTCAGGCCATGATTCCAGTATCCCATGATACTGGCTGATAGTTGGGACTCAGGACAGGACATGACTCCCACCACTTGCACAGTGTAGTTTACGTGAGTGTAGAAGTAAACACAACAAAAAATCATAAAGTAAACCATCTATGTTACCTCTCAAGTAATTGTCTCACCTAGACTTCTACTCAGGCTTACAGTATTGATTCCCAACCTGGGGCAGGAAAGGGGTGGGGTACAGGCAGGATCCTGCCCTCTTCTCTGTCATTCTCTCTGCCCTTCTGAAGTCAGCCAAAGTTCTGTTTTTTTCAGCTTATGTATTTGGATTTGGTGCCCTGAAACAGTCTGCCAAGCTGTGCAGGGGTCAAATCAAAGTACAAAGCTAAAAGCATTTGTTGTAAAGTTTCTGTCAGGATCAACCACCACTCCTTCCATCTGTTTCCATTCCCTCCCCTGATACCTGCTGTGTGCATTTTCAGATTTGAAGAGTCAGATATGCTGTGCAAATTGCTGAAATTTGACCTCAGGTGGAGTGCTCCCTGTTTTTTTTCAGTATTGGATTTTATTTCACTGTATGTGTAGCCAATGCTCCCCTGACAGTATATCAGTTGCGCACAGATCAGAATGTAATGAGACTGCCAGAATTCCACTTCCAGCAACTTGTGATATTCACAGATGACTAAGCACTGGTGAAGGACAGATTTCAGGCACAGCTAGTTAAGATTTCAATAGTTGTTCTTGCCTGATATTCTGTTGTCCTCTACAACCTCTGCCTCAACTGAGAAGTTAGCTTTTAAGACCATTAGTGTTACAGGAATAAACAATTATTTTTAACACAAAAATGCACGAATCTGTACAAGACATCATATAAAAAATACTATTTTTTTTTACTGAAACATCACCATGATATTTGCATGAACTTAGACTAGCAACATTGTCATGAAAGTTCATTTGGCAATTTGAAATAATTAAAATAGAAGTTAAAAAGCAGAGCTAAAGCTTTGCTCTCACTGTCACATAGTATTATACTATTTCAAACTAATTATGTTACTTGTGTCTTTTCTGAATGATAAACTATAAAAGGGGTACAGACAAGCCAAATCCCAGGTTTCTGTCAAACAATGGAGTAAACCATATGAATTATTTTGTTAAGTAAGAGAATAAACACTTATTTTGCTACTAGATAGAAAAGTAAATGTGTAACATTTACTGCGGTTAATACCATCATTGATGTTAAATTGTATTTCTGGAGCCATTATGCCTTTCAGGCTCACGGTTCCAAGAAGTGAGTATGGCTTTTAGCTAGGAAGGGGCCAGCAGGTTTATCTTAAAAATCGGGTTCAGAAGTTCTCTTCTTTATACAAGAAGATGTCAAGTATATATGTCATGATATTAAATCTACATGGACAAGTCATGAAAGCCTTATTATGAGAAGTTTTACTGTTATGTAATTTTTTTTTCTCTTAAGATGCTGTTCTTCTCTTTGTTTCTCCTTTCCCACCTTATTTCTACCACTACCCATTATTTGATCGAATGACCTAACCTTTTGGGGGTGGAATCTTGAATCTTCCTGGAGACTGGCACCTTATCCTGGCATCCCAGGTAATTACGGTGCTCACAAAGTAAAGCAGCAGTACCTCTGTTATTCTTGGCAGATGTTTAACTTCCATTGACAGAGACTCTAAATGACCTTTCCAAGCAATCTGTTCTAGTGCTTTCCTATCTTTAATTATTTTTCTGAACACTTAACTCTTTTACTTAAAAGCAAATGATCTTTAATGAACCAGTAATTATGGGGAGAAGAAAACTGTAATTTGTGTCTTCCTTTTAACTTCAAGTGAAGCAATCTCAAGATCATACTTTGAAAACACATCTCTCTCTACTCTCAACTGTGTGTTGCAATGACATCTGCAGGAATTGCTCCCCTAAAGAGCAGCATTTGGAGTGCCAGTAACATTTTTTAATTTTATTTTAATTTTTAGTTAATTTTGCTAAGCAGATGGAAATAATGAGATAGCAAAGAATGGTTAACAACATCTTGGGGTCACTTATTTGTGATCTAATTAGATCTGCTGCTTTTTGCATTGAATGCAGCTGTTTTGTTTTAATCTTGTTGTTTCCACTTCACCTGGGGTAGGCAGGTAGCCTCCACCACCACTCTGTAAACTGTGCTTCTTTCCTCTTGGTAACTGCAACAGCTACCATAGCCCAGCTTGCTATCCTGTGCTTCGAACAAGGCGGTTACTGCCCTGTGCAGAGGAGCAGGCACATCAGTCCAGCTGCTTCCCTGGGACAGGAGCATGAGGGGCAGCCCGGCTGCAGCCTCAGCAGTGTGTGTAACACACAGATCCTTTGCAGTTTGCAGGGAGGAGTACCTGTGCTACCTGCTCTCTTGCACAGGAGCTGCACATAGCCCTTTTGAGGTAGAAGGGGAACCACAGCTGTGAGCTTTGTGAGGTCTCCAGCTGTGCACAGTGGAGATCATTTGATTCAGACAGCTTTTGCTGCTGAAATAATTGTCCTTTGCTGGATGGAATACTGATTGCCCTTGGTGGAGTTTAGGCAATACAATTCACATTTGATTATGTTGATCTACTTGTGAATTTACATTTTCATCTTAATAATTCTTTTATTTTGAAGGATGGCTGAGCATAGAGGGAAATGTTATATTCCTGACAGTTGTCCATGCACCTGGAAAGACAGGGAATTTCTGTCTGGAGAGGTGATAGCCACACCATGTTACACCTGGTGAGTGACATGCAATTTGCATACTTCCAAATCATCTGTGTCTAGCCACAAAGGAAAATCAATACAGAAAATGCATTGAGTACATTTATAAGCAATTACAGGATATATCTGTTATTAGGCTTACTAATAGACTTGGAAGAGTAGGCAGACTTTTGGGTGGGTGCTTCTTTCAGTCTGAAAAGGAAGCAGAAGATATCCAAGTAAAAAAACAGTCAAAATCAAATGCTTGATTCCACATATATCAGTTAATCTTTGAAAGAAATTTGGTATTTCAGAGAATAGATATCATGAAAGGCAACCAAGGAGAAAAAAAAAAGAGAAATTAACCGTTTCTTGAGAAAAAAATATGATATTAATGTTTTATGAATGAGTGTGTCGTGGCATAGTGTCTTATCTATACTGGAGGCAGTGATGGAAATATTTGCATAAGCTATAAACATTTTAAGATTTTACATTCAATTCTTATGCATTTTTATTGTACATATGTGCTGATGGCAAAACGCTCAGTATTTTTTTGCCATGGCATTACCAATAATTTCAGAAGCAATCGTCAGTGTTTCAGGGTCTGGAACTGTTCTTCCTTTCATGAATTTCTGTGTGACTTGAAGTAAAGAATCCAGGAAAACTTCTTGAATATAAAAATAAAATGACCCTGCTGTGAGAATATACATTAAATGTTAATTTTCCTTACAGTGTTTGTCGGAGAGGGATATTCAATTGCACTAGTTACCCTTGTCCTGCTGTATGCACTGTTTATGGAGATCGACATTATTACACCTTTGATGGATTGGAGTATGATTATGTCAGTGACTGCCAAGCTTACCTGCTAAAGGTAGGAGGATTGTTCATATATTTCCATGTGGAAGTTTCCGTGAGAGGCCAAATATTTTGAACATCAGGAGATGATCTATAGAAACAAACATTATGAAAACAGGTGCAGAACAGATGTGTCTGAAAGGAAGAATCTGTAAATGACATTTCATGCTTAGTCATTTGAACACGTACATGGCTGTGTCCTTCCTTACATATCTATGTGGTTTAGAGAAAAACATTGTTTTCTGTTGTAACTTAACCATGCTTTCATCACAATGAGATAAGAATAACACTATAGAAACTGTTCTAGGACTAGGTATGATCTATAGATTTATTTAATAATTATCTATAAACTCTGCTTGGTAAAAGGTTAATGAGGACCTCTGAGGCTGCTTGGAATCTCCCTTGAATGTGGAGATCTGCATCAGATCTGGAGTGTATGTGTATAATAATATCAAACACAATGATTTCATAATTCAACAATGAAATCCTTCGTTGAAATTATCTGGCAGCTACATGCTAATATTCCTCATAGCACACATTTGCAGTACTTTGTTATCCTTTTTTGTTTAAAAATACCATTACTGACATTTAGAAATATATTCTATTACTAACTACAGTATTGTTTATTATCATTGTTGCTATTGTTAAGGCTAAGAGTCTGTCTTCTGAGTTACAGTAATGTGTTTAGATGAATATTCATTTTCTGTCAACCCTAACTGTCTAACCTTAAGAAAAAGCATGGTTTCTCAACAAGAACTACTGCAAATAGTTTATTTCATGTACGCTTTAGTAGAGTATTCACAGCTATGAAATAAAAGAGATTGGTTACAGATTTTTTTCATTTGTTTAAGAAAAAAAAAACAACCCAAAAAAGAGAGAGATTTGATAAAGATAATAAGAATACCTCATAGCAAACTCCTGGCGTATATCAAATTGTCTCATAAAAGACCTCTTACTCTTAGAGGTATATGAACCTTTACACAAAACTTCCTCCTTTAAGATGCAAAAAAATCCGGTTACTTTACCTGTAAAATCATCTTACCTGTATGATGAGATAGAAAAGTGGGTTGTCATTTCTTAATTCTTATGCCATCCAGCAAGAGAGGTGTGCAAGACAAATCTAGGCTGCTTTTTCAAACTTTAGTTTGATACCGGAATGTTTTGCTTTTACAATAAAATATCACCTACCACTCTACTGTGTAAGAAAGTACCTATCTGGAAACAAACCATGGGGGGAGCATTTGGAGTCCAAGAATAAAGTTGGTAGCCACGTAGTTAGGCACACTTCCAACGGGCCTTTCTTCAGGCCAACATGATGCCTATTTAGATCTGCTTTTGAGACTTTTTAGATTTTTTTCCAGCTTTTCAAACTGTTTTTGTTTTTTTTCCCCTCCCAAATTTAGCTAATGTGAGAAAGTATGGCTTAATTTGTCCTTCATTTTTCTTTTCTCTCTAGCATGTGGAAAACTTACATGAACTATATTTAAGAACTATTTATTACAAATTAGGCACTGCTTAATTATGTCTGGAACACATGATGTATCTGCGGGCTGATTTTTTTACTGTGAAATGTTTGGAGAAGTTTTAAGGGGGGGAAAAAAGAAACAAAGGATGGGATTATATGGCAGACGCCCAAGAGCTTTGAGGGAACTAAAACACAGAACTGATGAACTATGTGATGTGCATTCCTAGTATCAGAGGAATGGAAGATGACAGTATAACCAAATATTTTAAAAGGACACCATGGCTGAATTTGGCAGGAACAGACCCATATGTCTGATTTCCATATGAAAGAAATTAACATAAATTATAATAAAGATAAATGACATGATATTGAGGAAGAATTGAACTATTTATTTTGTAGAAGAAATTCATGCATGATGAATCTCCTGAGTTATTCCTTGAAGACAACAAACGTTGACGAGGATGATCAGGTCAATACGTGTGTATTTTAGGTTAAAGACCTTTTGGAGACTGATTTCAACAAATATTTTTTAGAGACTAATCTCTCATAGGATGAGAGTGAAGATTATTTGAGAAACAAATTAAAAGTTAGAAGTGTTAAAGGATAGGAATAAGTCTTTTTTTTTAGAATGGAGAAATCCCAGTTACATCCCAGAGGTATCCCTGCTGAGACCTGCATTCAGCATCTTCAGGAACAATTTTTAAAAGGTGGTATGAGGATTGAGGTGGCATATGGTGATGATAAAGAATCAGTCTGAACACCTGAAACAAAGATGGACCACCAAAAGTTTCACAAGATATTATGGCAGAAAACACTGCATGATAAAATGATGAAATTCAGCAATGAAATATGCAACTCAGTGAACAGAAAAAATAACTGTAACTATGCTACCATGAAGAATGGTATACTATGCAGGAATGGAATTTTATGTGAGAAAAATACATGAAACATGCAATTGGTGTCTTCCTAGTGGCAGCTTTAGTGATAATCCAAAGTGTCATCTGTTCTCCAGTGTCACGTATGCTGTTATTTGCATGTACAGTTATACCACAGTTGTACCACATACTGATGTGGCTAAACTACGTTATTTGTTCCGACATGATAACATGATCAGGCTTCTCTTTTTTGAAATATGCTTTGTTGTTTCTAGAGCAGAGGTTTCCATGGCTACTTCCTCGTAATCATCCTCCCGTACATTGTGGGCATGTGCAGTGACATTTTAAATAGTAGTATCAGAGTAATATAATGAGTTTTCCTTGAGCTACTTGAGCCCTGCTTCTTATAGCCTGTTATCCAAACAAATAAGCCAGAGGAAAGGTGGGAAAGTATATGGAGTTGCAAAAGTTTAAATGCATTGCCTAACACCTTGGCAGGCACAGCTGTCCAGGGCAGTCTTGCCACCTAAACCATGCTACCTGTTCTACAAACCACCTTTTATTTATTTATTTTTTAACTTAAATCATAGAATGTTTTGAGTTGGAAGGGAACTTTAAAGATCACCTAGTCCAACCCCTCTGCCATGGAGTGTGTGTGCTGTGTGCTTCGTGTTCCCCATCTGTAAGGTATTACAGAACATTATAGATCTGATAGTTGCTAGTACACAATCCATTGACTTAATGGTAGTTTGCAGTGCTGTTACAAGGCTGATTTTTATGGATAACTTGTAAAAGTCTCACCAAACAGCTGAAGTGGTTGTAATATTGTATATGCAACATTGTAATACCTTTGTCCTTTCCCTTTTACTAATCTTCTTCCTGTGAGAAATGGACTGCTTTGTCCCTGCTATCTGATATTCTCTAAACAAAGGTGTTGTAGCAGTGCTTATCATCTAAACTCTTGCTTGGAGACTCCTCCAAATCAGAGAAAATACAATTCTTCTCAGCAGAGAACAGGCCTGAGGGGCTCCAAGAGCACTGATCCTACAAGTCTTCACAAACACACTGAACTGCATGACTGAAAACCACCACAAAGCTAGAAAAAGACCAACGTGTGTGACAGAAAGACAGCAATTTTAGTATAGTAGTATCAGAGTAATATAATGAGGGAAATGATAACTACAGTAAAATTGTTGGCATACTGGTTCCTCCCAGGCATAGAACAGAGTCCAAGAATTATGATCTGAATCCCATGTCTCCAGTGGCATGACGATGCACTGTTCCCATGCATGTTACCAGCCCTCACTGTTTGACCTGGCCGTTAGCCTCCCTAAATGCAATCTGTT